GATTTTGACATTCTTTATATCATTTGAAAGATGACAGAATTCTCCACAACTTTCTTGTTGACTGTTCTAGGCAAATTTTGATGAACAAATCGCAGCAATTACGACTGTTCAAATTTCGTGGCAAAATATTAATGAGAACCCACCCCGCAGTGATAAAAACAACGCACAACACACAATTCTCGTTTGATTTTGACATTCTTGATATCGTTATAAAGATGACAGAATCTCTACTACTTTCTTGCTGAGCGCTCTAGGAGAAATCGATGAATAATAGCAACAATTGCGAATGTTCGAATTTCGTGGTAAAATAATAATGGGAACCCACCCCACAATGATAAAACCAGTGCTCATCGCTCAATTCTTATTTGATTTTGATGTTATTGATATTGTTGGAAAGATGGCAAAGTCTCTACAACTTTCTTGTTGACCGCTCTAGGTGAATCTCAATGAACAAATTGTGATAATTGCGAATGTTCGAATTTCATGGCAAAATAGTAATTGGAACACACATCATTGTGATTAAATGAACGCACATCGCTCAATGCTCATTTGATTTTGATGTTCTTGATATCATTGGAAAGATGATTGAATTCTCTATAACATTGTTGTTGACCGCTCTCAGCAAATCTCGATGAACAAAGTTACTAGAGTTGTTTCTGACGTGTTTTGAATATGGAAAATAGAAAAATATGATGTCGTATATTTCAAAATTATAAGAAATTTTTTGAAAATTAATGTAACATTAAATCAGCAGATCATCATTTGAAATTATATGAAGTGAATCAACACAAACTTATTTCCATTACTCCAAGAAAATTGAAGACGTCTAGCACACTTGTTGTTTTCGTAATCCCTTAACGAAACTAATTTATCAAATTCAACAACTAAGGACACACCTTCTCAACCACATAAAATATGGATAGGAAGCACATTATAAGAAATTTACACACATACAAATGGATCCAACACATAACCACTAATTGAAAACATAAAACTTAAATAATTCACATAGCATAATCACATTGAATTGATTAACTCACATAGTAAATGCTCGTTCAATAATTATCATTGGTTCAAATTTATTTCTCTTAAACCAAACAGCTAAAAGTCACATAGTACATACTTCAGTTCACACAAGCTAATACATTAAAATACTTGGATATTATCACAAGTCTTTAATTTTAACAGTAATAGCGTTGTACCCATGATAACAACGTAGCTATGACTACAATATTGACTAAAATCAATATTTTAATAAGGAATTTGACATCTTCAAAATTTTGTTGATTATGACATCGCTTGCTAATATTTCTGCATTGTTCTCATCAACTATAGGGGTCGAAGTTGACCAGATTGAGCCACATTGAGCCAGTCTAATCCTTCTCACAATGACTGGAGTTGACAAGACTAACACTCGTAATTTTGTCTAAGCTATAATTTTCCTCGATGATGAACGTGTTGATCTTGAATTTTAACTGAAGGGGTGTATTTATAAAATTAAAATTTTAAATCGTGATATCCAAAAATATTTAAATGAAAAAATCTATCACTCAATGCTTAATGCAAAATTTTTCAACCATTCACAACTATTTGTTGAGATGGACAAATCTAATGTTGACTCAATCTCGTAAAGAATCAATGTCATATTAAGTATACTGGTAAATTCTAACTCAAATTAATTTTGTGTCAGTAAAGACGTCACTCGTTTTCTGTCCACATAGTTTGGCCAGTAGGCTCCATAAAAGAAATGATTACAACTAGAACCATCTAACTGAATAATTTGGCCAATAGACTTCACTTTAAAACATTAACGTCTATAGCTCATATGTTCCCCAATGACATTCTGCTTTTGAGTTGTAAATCGTAGAGTAAATTTGATAGGAGATGAAACTCTCTGCAAGCTAAGGTCGATTTGTTTAGTCCCTTTAGACAAACACTCACCCCATGACTACAAGGTTCCTTTGGACGAAGCAACCAATGATTGCTGACAATGATCTTTCTTTTAGGTTGGGTCAACTATCTTCTTCGACCAAGTAGATCAAAGATTATGACAATTCGAGATGTTGGAACCATGAGATCTTGATCAGGTTTGTCATTGTTTCACCCACCATCCTTTTTTAAGCTAATAGTGATAATTTCATAATCGTAAATTTTAAATTTGTTGCTATTATATACTATGTCTAAATACTTAGCGTCTAATGACTAGCCATAATCGATAGTTTTCTCATGTAATCCGGATGGCTAGTTAATCATAGGGGCTTGTGCCTATGGGAAACCCTGAACACCGGATCTTATAGTCATAAAATGATGGCAAAATCTCTGCATAGTGTCTTATCTACTATCTCATATGCTTTCTGAAAATTTGACCCGTAACTTAATACATTAAGCTCTCGACGAGAGTCCGTTATTTAGAGTTTTTGGAGCCTACAGTACAAAAAGTCAAAATTCCATGAAAGAGGAAGATGAAATATGGACTTTTTAATTGCATTTTAACTAGAATTACAAGGCCAATCTTTTGTTAATCTTTTCAAATGCTGGAGCTGTTGATGACAGATGTGCTGCAGTTTACATATGGAGGATTTAGGGCGTTGCACATAAATAATAAGAAATGTGTATATAAGTAAGTTTTGGGTGGCGCCTGTGTAAAAGCTTCTTTTAATTATTATAATAAACTAGCAATCCTTCCCTCGTGGCACTAAGCTGCCACGAACACTTTTATTAAGCCCGCTTGCTTTATTTTCCCTATTTGAAAATTTTATGAATTTGCTGTGGATCTTGCATGTCTGATAATTGTTTGGATCAATTGTATGATCATTTACAGGGCTTGTTAAAGGAGGGAAAAGATGGGATCAAACATTGGGCCTATGGCGGCGACTTTGGTGATTTACCAAACGACTTGAACTTCTGTCTGAATGGCCTCACATGGCCAGATCGAACACCTCATCCTGCTTTACATGGTAAATGAGAAAATGGTTTAAATGATCCCAACTATTTCTGGTGGTTCATTCTAATCCCAAAGTTTATAAAAATGTCAATTTAGTTCTTGGACTCTTTAAATTAGAGCTAAAATAATTCTTTTTGGGGACTATTTCAGCCCATATTAACATAGTGTGAGAACTGATTTGACTCTTTTATAAACTCTGATACTAAAATGACCCCATAAAAATAGTCAGGGGACTATTTTGGCACTTTAGTCCATGGTAAATCCTGACTCGTAACTTTCTAAATCCTAGAGATGCATAAGAGAAAGGTAGTCATGACTGTATTTAATATATGCTATGGATAGCTCTACTTAATATTTATATTCTGTTTCAGAAGTGAAGTATGTTTATCAACCCATAAAAGTTTCCTTAACTGAAAGCAAAGTCAAGGTATCATTAACATCTCTTCAAATTTTGATATTAATTCGGCAATGAAAGTGTGAAAATGGTCTCTAACTCTGTAAAGTCGTTTTAGTCCCAAGGTCTATAAAAGTGCCATTTTAATCCCCAAAGTATTTAATATGGGAATTATTTCAGCCCAAATTTAAAGATTAAAGGGCTAATTTGACACTTTTATAGGCTCTGAGACTAAAATGACCTCATGTAAACAGTTAGGGGACCACTTTGGCACTTTATGCAATGTATTCATTTGTTTATTTCATCTTGTAGATAGTAAATGCTCAGTTTTTTGAAGCAACAAATGCTCTAGAGTTTAGCTGGAGTTTTCAGGGAGATGGATGGACTCTTGGATCTGGAACACTTGAACTCCCAATGATATTACCTCAGAGGAGTTATGAAATTGAAATTGAATCTTCTCCATGGTATTCTCTATGGAGTTCAAGTTCAGCAGCGGAGAACTTTGTGACAATAACGGCGAAACTTAAACAGTCGACGAGATGGGCGGAGGAAGGGCATGTTCTTGGTTCTAGTCAACTTCTTCTGCCTCCAAAAAGGAAGCTTGGTCCCCATGTATGCCTCTTCCATGCCTATTGTTACATGTTGGAAATTAGATGTTTAGAATTTGTTTGACATCACTTTTATTTTTTGTTTTTGTTTTTATTTTTTTATTGTTAAATATATATTTAGTTTATATAATTTTTAAGAATACACAAAACATCTAAATGATATTATAAGTTTTTTTTTTTAAATAACTCTCTCTATTAAACATCTTTAATTCAAATCAAGACTTAAAACAAAATAAAATAAAATCAAAATATGAAAAAAAAAATGCCAATCAGCCCCTTAGTTTGTAACAAATTGGTGTTTTTACAGGCTATCAGGTTCGTTAAAAAGTCCATTTTACATTCGGAATTTGCTGATGACATCATAACGATTAAGAGAGAGAACAATTTCTGTATCAAATTCAGTACTCGAACCGTAACAATCGAGAGCTGGGAGGTATAATTTCATTAATTTGTTGAATACTGCTCGTCTATTATGATCATGTGCTCATTTGGTCATCTTAAAGTTTATTATTATTTTTTCAACACTAATGTTTCTTTGCTGCTTGCACAAAAGTATCATTCATATTTGCCTTTCATTTTTTATGAATTATTATATTGAAATTTATCTGTCAATTTTACGGATGCTGAGTCCTCTAGTTTGTTTTGAATCTTTTTGCATACAAATGCTCTCTTTTTTTTACTAAATTACTGGGAAGAAAACTCGTGTTTCTTGGCATTTCTGCATTTTCTTAAAGGTCATTTAGGATCACCTTTATTTATTTTTTTTATTTTTTTTTATTTTTTATGTTTTGATCTGAAATAATGTTTGGAACCCTTATATATATAATTTTTAATTTTTAAAATATAAAACAAAAAATTTGCAAAATTGTCATCATTGTGACTGCCATGTTATGAGACTCAATTGTTAACCTTCATACTAGAAACTTTAGAAAACCTCCTAAAGTTCCACTTATTTCCCATTTTTCCTAACTAAACTCAGCAAAATTTGCAGTCTCTATATTTGCTTTGTTGGGGAAATAATGCTACGTTCCAAATGCATGCAAAATTCTAGAAATTACGTTTCAAATGCATGCAAAATCTAGAAATTGTTTTGTTTTATATATGCTATTGAATTTGCAATACTCTATATAACTGCATATCTTTGGTGTCTTTTTGCTAACCTTATAGTCTTCCATAAGAAGTGAGAAATTTATCTCTGAACATGTGAGAAATGCTTGATGTTTACTATTTCCATTATCATTCTCATTCATCCCAGTTAAATTATTATTTACTTAGAACGAGGAGTGCATTCCATTGTTCAAGAATATATATGCTCTCTAAACGAGGAAAAGCCCAAAATAAACTCCCAATTATGAACAAGTGACTAATTTAGTCTCAGAATTTTAAAGTGCTCCACATTAATCAAAGACCATTAAAAATTAATTCAAATTCGTCCGTAGGTTGAATTTCGTGATTAAATTTAACACAAATCATTAAATTTGAAGTTATTTTAGGAATAGAAAGTTTAAATGATTTTTTTAATTATTACTCGATTTTCTTATGTAATAAATTATTTAAATTTATGAATGAGGGTGAATCTTTATTTGATGAAGTTAACAATCAAATATGGTCATTTATATTTAAGGAACCTGAATACTTTATCAATGTAATCAATATAGGCCCAAAGTAGAAAAAAAAATATTACTTAAGTAGATCGAATAATAATAAAATACTTTATTATATAATAGAGAAATATCATATTACATATGAAAATATACAACAACAACAACAACAAAGCCTTAATCCCACTACGTGGGGTCGGGTACATGAATCCTTTTTCTCCATTGCGTCCTATATAGTGTCCTATCCATTGCGTCCTATATAGTGTCATATTTTGATTTAGTTCTAATAAATTAAGATCATCTTTTATACAATAAGCCCAAGTTTTCGTAGGTCTACCTCTGCGTTTCTTGACATAAGTCGAATCTAAAACATTTACTCTCCTAATCGGATCATCAGATGGTCGACGTTTAATGTGACTGAACCATTTAAGACGACTTTCTCTTATTTTGTTCACAGGAGCTACGCCAACCCTATCACAGATATATTCATTTCGCATTTTGTCTCTAAGTGTAAAGTCACTCATCCACCTAATCATTCTCATCTCAACAACTCTTAACTTAGTATTATGCTTCTCTTTTAAAGGCCAACATTCAGCACCATAGAGCATTGCAGGTCTCACTACCATCTTATAAAATTTTCCTTTCAGTCTAAGCGGTACTTTTCTATCACAAAAAAGGCCCGAAACATTCCTCCACTTCAACTAACCAACTTGAATTCTACTATTAATATCTCTATCTATATCACCATCGCTTTGAACAACAAACCCGAGATATCTAAATCGTTCACACATTTTAATAATTTGATCACCCAAAGTTACTCTTCTGTCACTAGAGCACTAGAGCTTAGAGCTACTACTACTAAAATTACATTCTATGTATTCAGTTTTAGTTCTACTCAAATGAAGGCCTTTAGACTCCATTATAGACCTTCATAATTGAAGGTTTTTTTTAGCTTTTTCTCTCGTCTTATCCACGAGAAGGATACCATCAGCAAAAGCATACACCAAGGTACATCCTCACATGTAAATGTCCAGTAAGACCATCCATAACTAAAGCAAAAAGATATGGGCTTAAAGCCGATCCCTGATATAATCCAACAGAAATAGGAAAATATTTGATCAATCCTCCTTTAGTTCGAACACAAGTAACAGCTAATATACATATCTTTAATGACTTGAATATTACTCATCTTAACACCTTTCTTCTCAAGAACTCTCCAAAGGATATCTCTTGGAGCCTTGTCGTAAGCTTTTTCTAAATCACTAAAAATCAAATGTAGATTCTCTTTATTATCTCTTTTATTATCTTATTATCTCTGAACTTCTCCATCAAACCTCTCAAAAAATGTATAGCTTCCATAGTAGACCTGCCTGACATAAATCCAAATTTTCATATATTACATATGAAAATAGAGTGATAATAATAATAATATTTCATTTAAAATTTTTATTCCTGAAGTTCTCTCAAAGTTAAAGGTTGGTGCTAACTTTAATCATGAAATTCAGCTCAATGCTAATTTAGATCAATTTTTAATAGTCTGTCATAAAAGTGGGGCACTTAGAACGCGGATACGAAATTGGTCACTTGTTAATGGTCAAAGGATTATTTTGAGCCTTTGCTCTTTTCTAAACTCATTTTGACTCGAAGGTTGAAGGCTGCCTTCTAATGGACAAAGGCATAATTCCCTGCTTTTGGCGAGCTCCCACCGATAACGACAAAGGAGGCGGCCCTCTCAGCTACGCATCAAAATGGAAATCTGCTTTTCTGGATGATATTTTATTTCAAACAAAGCACTGCTCGGTAGAGAAGAAGACAGGTGATTCTCTCCTTATTACAGCTACCATCTTTGGTCTTCCCAGAAACCATTTTAAGGACACAGATTCTGCACAAATCATTACTGACTGGAACAACAATAATATCATACTCTTTAGAATCGATGTGAAATATTCATTCTATTCCTCCGGTGATCTAATCGTCGAATACAAAGTAAACCCTAACAGCAATCTTCCTCCCTTGCCGCGCATTGGTGTCGTTTTCCATGTAGTTCGATCGTTGAATCGGATTCGATGGTATGGCAGAGGTCCGTTTGAATGTTATCCAGATCGGAAAGAAGCGGCTTTTTTCGGCTTATATGAAGCCGATGTGGCAGATCTGCATGTGCCATACATTGTTCCGGGAGAGTGTTCGGGTCGGGCTGACGTCCGGTGGGTTTCGTTCGAGAATAATGATGGATTTGGGTTCTTTGCTTCTGCTTATGATGCATCACCACCAATGCAGATGAGTGCGAGTTATTACACTGCTGCTGAACTCGATAAAGCGACTCGTAACGAAGACTTGGTGGGCGGAGATGACATAGAGGTAATTTAACAATTTTAAGGTTGGAAGATTTGCATACATACTACTCAATGCCTGTGTAATCATATATCTAACACCTAACATCTTTTTTTACATAATATGCCACAATGCCATGCATGAAAAGTTGTATTTCACTTTTTAAATGTTGAAATGGTGGTATTTTTGTTGTGATATGAAAGATTTGGGTGGTGTAAATGTAGAAATGAAAGTTAGGTGTTAGATATGTAAATACATAAGAATTGTGTGGTATGTATGTAAATGCCTCTTTCATTTTTATCTTCTTTAAGTTTATGTGCATGTTATTTAACTAAACTAAAATAAGAGAAACTTTTGTTTGAAACTCAAGCAATATGAGAGCTCTTTTCAATATGGAGCTTTCTCAATTTTAAAATTTTGTATGGGAGATTTACATGCATATAACACAGTTCTTAATGCATTTATATTTCTATTATCTTAACTCTGATATTTGCATATATAATATTTTAATGTCATAAACATTAAAATATGTGCAAGATTTGAGTGTGATATAATTAAATATTAAAATTTAATTGTTAGACATGTAAATGCTTAAATATATGTAAATCCCTCTTTTTCTTAGGGGCATTTAAATACATACATTACAATTCTTATATATTTACATATTTCACATATCTAATAGCTAAACTTTAATATTTGCATGCATATCAAACAAATCTTTAATTTCACCTAAAAAATAACACTATCGCATTCTTTTTAGAAGTGAAATACACATTTTCATGCCTAAATTGATGCACCAAAGTGCAATAGATACAAGTATGAAGTTATATTAGAAAATCTTAAACTATACTATATCTTGTCAGAAGTTATACTAGAAAATAACTTTAATTATGAAGTCATATATCTTAAACTATACTATATCTATGCTATCTGTGCATCTTTAATTTTTTCAAAGTTATCCTTATTAGAAGTTATATTAGAAAATAATTTATTCATATTAGAAGTTATGAGGATTAGATTAATTTTCTTAGATTAGATTTTAACGGTCATAGATAAAATCCTCTAATATATTTATTTGGAATACTAAAAATTAAAATATCATATTAATGCCTTTGCAAGAAAAATATAATTATTTTGTTCTAATCTGGCTGTTTTTGTAAATTAGGTGCATCTTGACCATAAGCATATGGGATTGGGTGGAGATGACAGTTGGTCCCCTAGTGTCCATGAGCAGTACTTGGTTCATCCTGTGCCCTGCTCTTTCTCCATAAGGTTCTCTCCCTTCTCCCACTCTCAAGCACCAGAAGAACTTTACAAATTTCAGCTTCCACAATCATGAATTTGCATTTCTGGTAAATTTTATGTTTATGATTGATTTTTGTGTAATTTCTTATGTGTTTTTTTTAGAACATTATGAGCAGTAATAATTGGAAAATAAAACCATGTGTTGGCTGATGTAATTTTTGTTTTTTAATCTATTTATTTGATATACGTGACTGTCTGTAAACTTAGTTGTGGAACTGTTATGGACTTATGGGTTTACAGTGGATTTTTAAAAATTGGATTTAAATTCATATTAATTGGATTCTTATGTATTTATATGTCTTATAATTGAATATTTAGGTTTATTTATGTACCTTAATATGAGGATTTGTGAGGCCTCATGTGAGATATTTTTGTTATGAGGTGTTTCTATTATATTTTTCAGATTATGGCTGTAAAAAGTGCCCGTTTACGAGTAACTCATGTTCGACTTATTAAGCAGCTCACGTTTGATTTGTTTATTTAGCGAACCAAACAAGAGCATATTTTTTTAGCTTGTTTTTTAAGTTAGCCTAAATATGTAGAGGCTCATTATTCTCTCTAATATATATATATATATATATATATATATATATATATATATATATTGACGTATACCTTGGCGTTGGTTGAATATTTAGGCTATTATATGAAACTTTGACCTGAAGACACAATTAGCCTCTACATATTTAGGAATTCCCTCAGGCACAGTTAGCCTTACAGAAGTGGTACTTGAATTGTTAGGCACATTAAGAGTGGCTGGAGGCTCGTATACCTCTAGTCATTTCTTTTATGTGTGTGTGTGTGTGCGTGTTATATTTTTGAATCTTAATTTGTTTTGTGAATCACACCTAATAAATTGAGCGTTAGAAAAGATAGAGAGGGAGAAAGAGAGGTGCACCACAATTTACTCCAAAATAAATTAGAGTATTCTCAAGCTCGTCTCTTTTTATATAATTGAATATTTATAATACTTAAGGAGGAGAACCTAAAAAAAGATCCCTCTTACATGAAACGATCCTCTATTTATCGTAGAGGGAGTGCAATAAAGAAAAATTATATTTCTAACTCTGGTTTTATGAGAGTTGTATAAATTATTTTGACATTTTACACTAAGGGTCTGTTTGGGGCAGCTGCAGCTTATTCAGTTTCTGCTGATAAGCCGATTATCTTGATAATCTGTTGATGAACAGCTGATTAAGATAAGCTGACTAGTTGTTTGATTTGTGTGTTTGGAAAAAAATTGATTCTGGATAAATGACCATTCTGCTCCTGTTCTGAATAAGCTATTTAGCTGTTTGGTTTGTGCGTTTTGTAAATAGTTTATTTACAGTTTTTTTTAATTGAATGAATAATCTGTCACGTAGATTAGTAATTTTCTCAAATGTGAAGACATGAAAATGCGAAAGAGTTGAATTGCATTTATATAACTCAAAAAGTTTCTATCACATCAAATAAGCACAGTTATACATACAAAAGTGAAGTACACATTCACACTAATATGGAGTGCAATGAGACAAAAAAAAAGAAAAAATACCACGTTAAAATTACAAGGAAAAAAATGACAATATTGGCTTTAAAATATAGAAGCATATCACGACAAATGTTGCCCAGTTCTTATACCTCAGAATCCCAAGCAAACATGTCCGATTGGGATAACGTAGAAACGGAAGCACTCGAATCACATTTGGTGTTCTCCCGTTGTGATATCGTCGAACTTCGAACAACGGCGTCCAGTTGGGGTATCGTAGAAACGGTTGTACTGTCGGCCCACCTAAAAAATTTGCAGTCCTCCGGTTCGTGTGCCCACCGCGGGCACCTGTAGAATTGTCGGTCGTTGCTAGGTGTCTGGCGTGACGTGAATAACAAGGACGGTAACCCGCATCGACCCATCACTTGCCCGGACTTCTCTTAATACCTGGAGCTCATCTTCCTGCAATTATTAAGAAAAAAATAGATCAGTCAAAAACTAAAGGAAATAAAAAAAACTGAACTTACCAAATTGTGGAAGCAATGGTTGCTGACAACAAAGTTCTGTGGTCATCCAAGCCGCTCCACATTTATCTCAATAAAATTAATATACATAAAAAGTAAAAAAAAAAAAGAAAACAAGGTAAATAGAAGATAAATTCATTGCAACATGTTCCATAGAATCCATAATCACATGTATGCATGCAGTAAAAAAACAAGGCCATCCAAGCTGTAAAAACAATGAATTACATATTCCATAAGTGCAGGTAAAAGCAAAAGAAGGGAGAAAGTGCATAAAAGGCTACGGAAATAAGGTTATAATGCTTCTATTATAAACTTTGTTTGGCTTGCTTGGCATCTTTATCAAATTACATTTCTCCTAAGAACAGAATTCTGCTATCCTCTCCTGCCAGCACTTCTCAAACTATCAAATTATGGAAGTAACGGTTGCCGAGAACAAAATTCTAAGGCCGTCCAAGTTGCTCCACACGTGACAGTTTATAATAAGCTGTTCCATTCATTGGCACAACAGATTTAAATTTTAAACAGAAAAAAGAATTCATAAAACCAACATTTGCTCTCATTTTAGACAAGCTAATTCGTTAAACAAAAGCATTTTTCCCTTGCCACATACAATATATCATCAATTACAATCAATTTCTTTTCAGTGAGCTTGAATTCCACCAATTTCATTTCAAAAAGCTTCTAAGAATCCTACACAACCGTAACAGAGAAAATAAAATCATTTTCTTTACCTTATGAAACCAAAAGGTAGCATATAAAATCAGTTTATTTACCTTATAACAACTGTATAACTGATTAAATAAAGCAACCAAAAGCAAATTTATCCAATGCACACATTTGATCTCTTATCTTATGTAATGGCTGCACTGGTTACCTAGCAATAACTGGGCCATCCAAAGATGTCGCATCATCACCGTTGGGATTTATTTCAGAAAGCCATGAACAGCAGTTTATAGCCATGGACCGCAGTATAAATAGCCATGAACAGCAATATAGATCCCTTACTGTAAACCTACCCGGGACATACCATCACCCTCTTTAGTTTATTTCCAATCCAATAGTGAAGTGAAACAAATATGATATTTGTTCAATTGCCTTCTGCTCCAGAAGGAAAAAACCAAACTAGACCATGCTTAAAAAAGAATATTAAACCAAGGCAGCAAACAGAAGTTTTGATGCTTAATTCACATATTTAGAAGAAGTTGTAATTTTCTGCGAATGAAGATTCAATGCAGAACTCTGCTCTCAGAAGGCCTAAATTAATGGATTTTGAAGATAATAGAGACACATAGGCTGCAGCACTTCGAACTTCTGAATAGTTATACGTTCTAACTGAAGCAGAACTGAGAATAGAGGCACAAACATATGTAACACCTTAACTTCAATTTTTACATGCATCCCACTTTATCTATGCGTAAAGAAGTGTACTCTACATTTTAAAAGTTAAAAATGGTCATTTTGAAGGGATGAAGAGCGTGTCTCAATTTCCAGGTATAAAACAGTGAACTCCTAAGAATTCTTATGTTAAAACAGCAGGTAATTCGAAGGCTACATCTCAGATTTATCAACAAATTGTGAAGCACAATTGTTATGTGAACACAGGATAACCGAATCAGCAACAGGAGAACACAGGTAAACCGAACCAGCAACAGAGAGTTGCAAATTCGTAGCATTCATTCATACAACCTCCAGCTCATAATGAGATATAAATTAATACATGCAGTTGCTGAAGAAAGAAAAGGTTGAAGGGTTGATTACATGGCAACTGCTGAGAACATTTAAACTTTTTGCATTCACATCAAATGTCTATCACTTTAACAGATAATAGGATAGATTTCTTAATAAAACAACCACAAATTCTACACATCAATGGTGACAGCAACCCAATGAACTTCAGTTAACTAGATAAAAAAAAATTATCAGCTTCCTTCAAAATTCTCAGCAAATGACAGCATTCATTCATATACCTACTGCTTTCCCCAATAGCAGTAATAGCATTCATTCATAATGAGAAACATGCAGCTTCGTCTGAACCTGCCTTTCTTTCTTTGCCAGGAGGGTTGTCCCAATCACTAATAGATATCTCAACGAGAGTCTCATGCTTCGATTAGATTTGTTCGGAAGCTTCGCCTTGAGTCCACGAACGTCCTCCAAGTGTTGATTTGCTCTGGGATAAGGCCTATGTATGATCTAGACCAAAGGGTGGCTCAGGTGTGGTCTTGAGCTAGGTTAGAGGGCTCGGGATGATGGGGCTTCGATTGGGGAAGTTATTTTAGGCTGTCTTCAACGACACAGGGTCACCTTTCCGACGTTTTATTCAGTATATTGAATCCACTACTTCCTGCCTAACATTGAGTGAGATATGAGCCAGTCCCAAGCCAGTGTAGGGATCCAGCCAAAGGAGAGTGGGAAAGGGAAGTTGCTTTCGGGGGAAACGAGTCCAGTCTCAATTCTAGCCGGGAGAGATCATGGACAAGGTTCGATCATGCTGGAGGGAGCATCCCACTTAGTGATAGGTCTTAGTTCACGTAAATCTGAAGAAGTTATCATGGACGAGCCACATGCAGGGAAACTTCCACTTGTGGTTCTGGTCGGGCTTTCCTTCAGTATCTAATAACCTTGCTTCTGCTCGCCGCTGGCGCACCTCCAGCTTACTGTTGTCGTCTATCTTCGCTCGATCATCGAACCGTCAATTATCATTGCCTTGAATCAGTCAGCAAATTAGTCAGTCCATCAATCTGTAGTGGAATAGTCTCACCAGCCCGTAGAAGAGTCCAGTAGTGGGTGAGTAGAGTCTGTGCTTTGGTGGGCATATCATGAAATGAAATGAAAACCCTGCAGTGCAGCCAACACATTCATAAAGACAGAAAATATTACCCATATACGTACCAAGCCATTCAAATGCCCAAAGCTGATACCTGTTATACATAAGTGATGTATGCAACCCAAAGAACTTCAGATTCCTGAAGAACGGTATTAAACCATTTAAATGCTTACTTCCAGCAATAATAAAACATTGTTAACTTCCCACGGTTGTTTAGATAAATAAACCTGCACAGATAAATATGCACTGCAGGTAAACTGTTGATCATTCTAACATCCCACCGCATATAAAGCACCCTAATATGAAGCAGCCATTCTAAATTGGGAATCATAGCAATTCGTGAACTGTGTATTGTCTGCATAGCAACTGAAGCAAACAATGTACTTCCCTGACATCACTTTAATTGGGAAGCACTTTAATAGCTAAAATAAAACTGCAGGACTCCCCACTCATGTATAGTTGAATGTAGAATTGGGAAGCAATTTAATAGCTAAAATAAAACAGTTGCTCCACTCATCTACTCCCCGAATGTATAACCATTCTCATTCTTGATCCATAGAGAAGTATCCATTTCATTCATTACTTTAGAAAAGCAGATATGTTATCAAATAGCCTAACAGATCAATAGGAGACGAAACAATATTTGGATCTGAGTATGAGATGAGCTACTGTTAAAAGCAACAATATATAGTTTGAGCCATAATTACCCACATAAAGCCATCTCTGCGGAAGTATACTACAACCAGAGTGTACTAAAGCCATAAAGAAAATCAACTTTGAGCTGTAGAAGAAAATGTATGTGGTAACGTGTAGAAAAGGGATGCGGTGTTTATGTTTTCGTGTAATTTAACCAAAATTAACATAAATGCTTACTGCCAATAGATTGTTCTTATAGAAAAACCTCAAATAAGCAAGCATTCGTAATTGTTTAGCCAAACTTTAAAGTACATTACTTAACATGTTTCGTTAATGTCGTCTGTTATTCGATCTCTCAAAGCTGCCATTTTAGATGCCCCTTCACCATCTCTGGTGTTTGTTTTAAGTGAATTCATTTCAAGCTGTGGTATGGTGCGGCCCACATGGTACTCGTATGTTTCGGGGGGAATTTGCAGTAAATTTGCATCAACCACGATAAATTTTGTATCAGTTCTTGAAGGATGTCTTCTAATAAAGTTGTGTAGTACCATGGTGGCCGCTGCTATCTGGACCTGCTTCGGAAATAGATAAGTGGGCATATCACGCAAAATAACTCATTTCTTCTTCCACACTCCGAATGATCGTTCGATTACGCCTCGCAATGATGAATGTTTTTTTATTGAATAATTCTTTCTTCTCACGTGCTACACCGTTTGACCTTTCAAAATATGGGATATGATACTTTGTATCTGGATACGACTTAAGAAACACCCTTCGTAAGAGATATCCGACGTCGACCAAGTAGTATTTACCTGTTGCGTGATGTTAGTCATAAATGGAAGTATAAAACAAAATTAATTTCTCAAATATACATACCTAGAGGAGGGTAAGGGAACTCATATGTTTGGTTTCTAGTAGCAAACTTGAAAACATGGTTATCGTGTGCGCTACCTTCTCATCCAGTCATCACAAAAGCAGAACACATATTTAAATCACACACGGCTATGACATTTTGTGTTGAGTATCCACACCGTCTGATGTAAGCGACTTTCTCTGCGGGAGACAGTCGTGCATCGACGTGTGTTCCGTCAATATCTCCAATACAGTCCTATGATGCATAAAATACCCCTAAACCATTTAAAATCAATATTTTTTTTTCTTGAAAATGAATATTATGTTGGACACTTACTTTGAAGAAGGGCATGTATCGAGGGTCATTTGTAATTTGTGTGGGAATGGTTTGAAACGTTGGGTCCTCGGACTTTACTATCTTGTATGTCAGACTCACTAGCGCATTCAAACCCACGAAAAAAATGCCTAATAATGGTTTCCAAGGAATTTTGGAATCGCTCCATAGCTCCTCTAATAGATTCATTTTAGGATAAGATATATAGGGTAATTGTCAATACCTCTCTGGCAGTTGTTCTTGATGAGCTGTGTAATCCATGAAGGTTCCGAAGTTCATTAAGCAGGTCGAGAAATATCACCTTCTTCATACGGAATATGTTTGCAAACTTTGTTGGGTGTCCCCGTAATAACTCTCCTACCCATTTTTCTCCAACCTAACTTGATGTCATACAGGGGGTTCAGTCAACGTATGTATGATAACAGTAGTATAGCAAGATGAGGGCGAGAGCAACTTTGTGATTGTGGTTAAATTGTTCTTCATCCATTCTATAAAATGTGGTAAATGATATTTTTTAAACATGTTAAACATTAACTTGAAGTAACAGGAAATATATTATAGTAAGAGAAATAAACGAAGACATAAACATAAATGTAATGACACAAAAAAATCACATAAAGTTAAAGGAGGACATAGAAGCAAAGAGTCTATCACATAATTATTACAATGACTGGTACTAAAATAAAAACAAATCTCAACCCTAATCAATCATTCATAAAAGATCGAGAAAGTCAAAATTATGGGTCCAAATTTGCGAAGAACAGTCTACGAGTAGAGTTCCCTAGCAACTTCACATATTTCAAATACATGGGTTTGTCTTCCTTAACACTGGGATATGTATTCAAGATTTTAAGGCACTCCTGAATTGAGTAGTTGTTTGTTGTAATGTTGGTGGTGGTGCAGTCTTCGGTTTGCAGGATTCGATTAGCGTCTCTATGGAACCTCTGAGAAATGTGGCTCCAACTTTCTTCTTTTTTACTCTGAGAAATGCGGGTCCAACTATATATATATAATCGATATTTGTTACAGTGGGCACCAAATATCGATTTCACCATATGAGCTAAAAACCCGATGTGTTTGATTCTGATTCGAAGAGCTCGCGCCCGATGAACTTATGTCAAAGGCCGCACCAATAAGCCAGGTCATTCGCGTGTGCGCGCACACACACAGATATATAATATATATATATATATATCTGATAAGTATAATTTTTAAAAGGCTGCAAAGATTTATAATCAGTTCAAAGTCTTAAATTATTAAATTAGATTTAAATTATGTTTTAAATCTTGCATCAATCCTTAACTTCTTATGGCTATGTGATTAGGGTTGTCAAAACGACTCTTTATTCGTGAACGACTCGTGTTCGACTCGTTAAATAAACGAGGCGGACAAGAACACACCTTTGAACTAGAAATATAAATGAGTCGAACACGAGCTGAGCACGCCCCTACCATCCCCAAACCGCGACGAGATATTTATAACGCCTGAGAGGCCCAAATAGGCCCAAAAAACTTGCATGGGCCTTTGGTGACCCATGCAAATACCAAAAAAATCCCTCTTAAACTACTCCAGCGACACATCTTAACACTTTCCTATATAAACCCAACTCAACTCTAAACTGCTCCTTCATTCCAAAAATGGCCGGCTACCAACCCTCGTCCCCCACCTCCATAATCGCTCTCTCCCAACCCTGCGACGACGACGACGACGGTCAAACCACCGCTATCCGCCGCACCAAAAACTCCGGCGAAGCCAACCGGTCTATCTCCACCTCCCTTCCCAAACCGCGCGGCCGCCCCCCCGGTTCAAAAAACAAACCCAAACCGCCGCTCGTCATAACCCGCCCTCAATGCACCCCCTTATCCTAGAGCTCGCCGCCGGTAGCGATATTCTCCACTGCGTCGCCGCATTCGCTCGACGCCGCCGTGTCGGCCTTTCGATCCTGGCCGGCAGCGGGGCTGTTTCGTCCCTCGCGCTCCGGCAGCCGGCGGCGCCTTCCGCCACCCTTACAAGTTTTTACAGTTTCCGGCCGCTTCGATATCGTTTCTCTGTGCGGCACTTTTCCGCCGCCGCCTCCGGCGGAGGCTTCGCCGGAGTTTACGATATCGGTGGCGCTAGCGAGAGGGGAGGTTATAGGAGGGGTGGTAGCGGGGCCTGTGACGGCCGCCGGGACGGTGGTTGTGGTGGGAGCTTCGTTTTTAGCGGCGGAGTTTCAGAGGCTGCCGGCTGTGGTGGAAGGAGGAGGAGAGGAGGCGGCGACGGCGGCGGCGGTGGGGGATTCCGCTCCGGCGACTGGTCAAGTTTCGCATGATATGGTGTTGTGGGCGACTCCGGCATCTTCTAGAAGCTTCTCTGGTGCCCTCCAGCGCCGTCCTCAGTACTAGTTCTGAGAGTTTTTGAGTCAAAATGAATTTAAAAAGCTTAGATCTTATTTGTTTTTCTTTTAATTTTATATTTTTTTAATTTGGCTATTTACATAAATTTCATCTGAAATATTAATATTTAAAAATCCAGCATTCTTTTTTATTCATTTTTAAAATTCTCTAAAAAATCAAAATTTATATTGAAATTTTCACTCATATTTTTAATTTATTAAGTAAATAAATCCATAGTTCAAAACTATCATCTCGATGTTATAAATGATAACATCATTTATAATGCTAAGTTGTCAAAATGCAATTTACTTAAATAGGTTAGGTGTGTTTTCAAAACGCGATTACACCAAATAAGCTGCCCCAAACGAACTTACTCATGAGGTGCATGGTCTTACGTGGGTGGGTTAACTATTTACAACAATGCAATTTAGATGAAATTTTTTAATTATCAAATATTATTAGATTATGTTAATTTAGCTTGAATATTATATTTAAATATTCTAATTATGTCATTTCTGAATATTTTGTTTAATAAAATTATGATTGTGGAGTTATTTTATGTATTTTAGCTAGTCTTTAGTAAAATAAGTTATTAAACATGTATCAAGATAATTAAAAAATTTTCACTATTTTGATTATGCTAATCCATAGTTAATAGACTTATCAATTATCATTCGTTGTTTAATTGAAATTGGGCTTCATGAACATAGAGCTAGAAGCTAATTGAGTGATTAATTTTAGGCTAATATAAACTAGTAAAGCCTAGTATGTGTTCCTGTTGCGTAACCCAGCCAGTTGGTTGGCATTCACGATATAAGACCTCTTAGATTTGGGGTTCGAATTTTCTTTAGCACAGTTGGTCTTACGAATGTGATATTTATGGATGATTGGAAGCTCGAATAATAGTCTCTCGCCATTCTTCGAAAAAAAAAAGACTACTTTGTGCTCTCTATAAAATGCTCCAAATATCATAATAAATTTGAGTACATATCATTGAAGAAAATATAAAACATACCTAAACTCCTAAAATTTTCTATTTATATCTATACCCTCAAATATATCATACCATATGAAAATATCATGGTTATAACTAAATATGCATTTTCATGCATAAGCAACTAGCAAGATTTGTATGTATGAGAAAAACTAAAATTTAAATGTTAGATATATGAGTACCTAAGAGCTTTAGTGGTATTTATGTAAATCTTCAATAAAAATAGGGCGTTTTGCATTTAAATGCATAGAACTCAATTTTTTGACATCACATCAAAAACATCATTATCACTATTTATAAATGTGAAGTACATATTAATATTAAAATGTTATAAATATAAATATCAAATTTCTGATGTTAGATATGTTAACTCATAACAATTGTGTTTATAAATGTAAATTTTCCAAAAAATTTTGTTTGGCGAATGAGCGTTTCCCAAACTTCTTTCGAAGTTTTTTCTCAAGAACGATGATATTTTTTTCAGATTCGTCAAGCGAACTAGGGCTGTCAAAAAAGCTCGTTGTTCGCGAACAGCTCGTGTTCGATTTGTTCGTTAAGCAAAGAGTCGAACGCAAAATAGTTTTAAAACTCGAATTATAAACGAGCCGAACACAACAGCTCTTTGTTCGCTCGTGTGTTCAGCTAATTTTAGCTCGAAATAAAAAAAAATTATATAATTATTTATATGATAATATATCACATATATTTTTTATATTATAATATATTATTTATATTTATATCTAAGTTTAAATAGTAACAACTAGTCAACATTATTTTTTTCAATTTAATTTTAACGAGTTAATTTCAAATCAAATACGAGTTGAACACGAACACACTCTTTACGAGCCCATTCCAAACACGAACAATTTCGCTGAACACAAACCAAGTTCGGCTCCTTTGCACGGCATCCATTACAGTACAATTCTCTGTCAGCTTTTCTCTCTCTTTCCCCTCCCCTGTTTCTACTTCAAGCCCTGCATCCCCCTTCTCCCCGGACCATACAATGCTTCTGGTGCAGAGTGAGAAACTCAAGGGGGGTAAAAAACTGAAAAGGGAGGAGGAGGAATGAGTTTCCATGGTGGACGGAATGATGAAAAGGAGATACTGTTGCAGAGTTGCAGACGAGGAGTTAGGGCACGCGCGGGCGGTGGAGGGGGTGAGAGAGAGAGGTGGATTGGTCAACAAGTACGAGAGATCTGCGCGCAAAGTGAAGACTTGAAAGCTTAAAGGGGATAAAGGTTATGGCTTTAGTGGATTGAGGGAGGGGGCAGGTTGGTTGGCGAGGAAAACTTCTGCTGTCAAAAGTTACGTTTTTATGAACTATGGCAGTCGTTTTGTGGTTAGGGTTTTGATGCAGGAGAATGGAGGGTGGGGGAAATTATGGCTCTTAGATATGGGAGCGCTTATTCCATCAGTGAATCGGATGCGTCCCGAATTTAGCGTTCACTTGCAGCATGATAAGTATAAGTGGGTCTCACTATAATACACTGATTAGATAAGTTTTTTAGAGATGTAAGGCTCACTTGCCACATGGCACATGTCCATTGGACTCCGAACGTAAATTTTGAGTCTAGTGTACTAATAGAATAATTTTTCTTGAATTAAGAGTAGAGAAAAAGTTATTATTGTTTATTTATTTATAGGGAAAATTGCATACATTATACATATCATGTAATTTTATATATTAATTACATATTAAACAATCAAATTTTGATATTTATAGGGACTAATAAACATAATTACCCATGGAAAAGTGTATTCATTTTTAAGAATATAGTGTGTGATATTTTTGATGTGATGTTAAGGATTTGAGCGGTGTATATTTAAATGTGAATGTTAAGGATTAGATATCTGAATGCATAAGAATTGTGTGTGTTCTGTGACGGGAGATTGACAATAATAGAGTGATAATTTAATGTCTTTATGTTGTATGAAAATTTAACACGCGCGAATGATTAAAAAGTAGTAGGAGAATACGTCGGGATTTTTTTTACATGTAAAAAAATGAAAATATAAAAAATCTCGAGTTTAGCTCAGACAAAGCGTTCCACAGGGAATGTGTAATTACAAATATTATCCATAAAGTCGTAGTAGTTGTTGAAGATGGCATAAGCCTTCATAAATGGCAAACATTCATTTCAATTTAAAGCATTTTACAGATGTTTCTTCAACATCCAAGAAGAGAAAAAAGATGTAATTACCACTCATCTCCTTTGTGGTTATAAATCTAGCACCTAAACTTCAGTCTTTAAATTAAAATAAAAAAATAATACCTGAAATAAAGAAGCTTAAATTCGCAATTTATGCTCAATTTCATGAGCATAAAATAAATGTACTTGTATAGACATTCAAAAATTACAGATCTATGAAACAAAAACACATCTGTTCAGATGCATCCCTTTAACCCCGCAAGCTTGTAAATTTCACAATTACAACAAAACATTTATAAAACATTAAATTAATTCATATAAATAATGAATAAAAGATCATGTGTTAGCACATAATTACCTCCTTGCAAGGTAACACTCATCTACGAAAGTGTGTCATAATGGACGTTGTTTGAATCCAATGATTGATATTGCATGGATGCAGTGTCAATAGATTATCTATCAAAATCTACAACAACATTACCTTTTTTCAATATCAACTATTTGTCATTCGTGTGTGTCTTTAAGCTCAGCCTTTATTGATGTTGATTGTTTAATGACGAATGACTTTTTGTTTGTTATAATCTCCCTAATGTACTCTTCAACATGGGACACTAAATCTCCTTTCCAACTAGCTTAACTTAACTTCCTTCATGCACGTTGCTCCATGATCATAAACCAAAGCACATCAATCAAATCAACTTTGGACCTCTAAAATCCAAGAATCAAAAGATTTGTCATATTGTTTGTGTTAAAATGACTTTTTTTAAGAGGTCGGATTTTGAACACTTGTACGGTAACGAGTTCAATTATGAATGCACTGCAACACTTATGCTGAAAATCCCATTAAACTTGGCATCATAATCTTCTTTGGTGTATGCTTTGGTTACAGTTTGCACCAAACTTTTCACTTTATGACTATCATCACAATGGAAGAGTTGATAGGCAGACTTTGTGCTTAGAGTTTGGAAATATAATTCTAATGGTCTCGCCTAATCCTTTCTCCATGTCCGAAATGGAAGCCAAATGGTTTTTCTCACCACCAATGGTTCGTAACAGAAACCATTCTGATGACTTTTTTTATTCAACTTCAACAACATCAAAGGCACAAAGAAAAAGTCCATTATTGTTATCAAGAGATATTGTAGATAAAAATGCTCATAAGTATTTTGATTTAAGTTGTCAAGCATCAAATGCAATCAAATATCTACAATCAACAAGAAAGCCATCATTGCACACCTTAAAGCTTATATAAAATCTCCTGAAGTTTTTAGCATGATTGTCACATGTGTATGCTAAGTGAGAACTCAGATTCCTGTTAATAAGGTCTGATGCAAAAGTAGGCGCCCACAAATAATTATCATTTAGTGAGCCAAACATAATCTTTTTTTGCTTGTTCCCTTAAAATTCATAATTTCATGTATTGTAATAATAACTTATAGTTGGTTTCCAAGTATTTATATGTCGTAGATCCCTATAGACATACAATGATCCATGTACATCCCTTTTATAGGGAGAATTATAGAGTGCAATCCATACAACATTTGATATACTTGATTTCAAATAAAAATTCTCTAAAATTTTTATCTAATAGCGTACAATTTGTTAAGAACACTCTATAAGTGCATTTCTTTAGCAACGATGTAGAATTTACTCATTCATTGCGTAATGTTATTACAACTATTTCACATAACTTTTATGTTATGACTATTGTATATTATTTCATACAATTAGCTCTCTATATTATAATTACTAGATTCATAATAAATAATGTACTCTATTATGTCTTAACTTT